GCACCGGTTTCATACCAGGGAGGAGCATGGCAACAGCTCTGGTACTTGAATAACGCGTTCATACTCCGGTGAGTGGAAGATGCAAACAGAAAATTCAGAGACCAAGTACAACATAGGAAAAGTGTGGGAGTGCTGAATAACTGCAGGATGGGTAAGTGACACCTAAATAAAATGTGCCTTAGTGTTTTAAACCGTTTAATGTGCTGAGGAGCAGTATGAAGATTTACAGTGCGTTAGAAATAAATGGTGGTAAGAACAACAGAATACGAACATTGGTAGAGCAGTGGTCTTGCGAATGTCTTAAGCGGCAGCTTGTTGTTAAGCAGCTCGCTGAGCTTTAGAGCAACTTGAGGAAATGTATTTTAAGCTAGCAATTTACAGTTAGCAATGAGTAGCCCAATTTCTTTCCATATCATAAAGAAGAATGAGAAATTAATTCATTAACTTACCTTCCCACAAGGAGAAACGACTGGTACCGAAGGGCTATTTTTGGAATAAAAGCCAGAGGCAGGTCAAATTGAAATAGAGCGATCTATTAGTTGTATTCTTTTTATTAAGTTATTAGTAATATTGTATAGTGCTGTGTAATTAAGATCTTAAGACCTATCTGGCAAAGCAATTTGTGGATTGTTTTCAAATTAAGGCTGTGTATTTTTCTAGCAAGTATGCTACTGCTGAAATAAGTCATGACAAATTTGTGTTACACAAACAGTTAAATCAATCTATTATGGCCTACACAATAAGGCATGGGAATTAAACTAACTGCTCCTCGAGTAGAGCAGCTTAAGCAAAGCTACATTTAGAACAATGCCAGGTCAAATCCAGGGATCCTGCTGAAAAAAAATGCTGAAGCCGAGGTTCAGGCAGAAGCTGCTGTGATGAAGAGGAACAGCAATTAGTCAGGGCTCAAGAACACAAGGGTGCCTCTGGAAATGTTTAGCCGGATAAATAAGGGTCTTAGGAAGAAAGGTGGAGTGGAAGAACACAACGGGAACGCTCTCTCTGAAGCTTAAAGGTGCAGATTGTAATGGCAGCGTATCAAATGCTGAAAACGATGAGGAAAACAGAAAAGGTGCAAGCTGACAGTATAAACTGACATTGTTGGAGGTAAGGCCCTGGAATTAGAAATTATTCTGAGAACATTTCCCTTCTTTACCTGTTTTGCTTTGTGGTTGAAAGCTGCTTAGTTAGAAGCAGCCTTCCTAGGCGAAGCAGCTGTATTTCGTTACATCTAGTTCTTGAAACTCACTTTACCATTTCCATATTAGCCTATATAAAGGCAGAGAGGTAAAATAAAAAGTTCTTGTAAGGCAGGGGGATGAGGGAGATGAGAGAAAAGCAAGATCAGTTCTGCCTGGGTATTTTTCAGATGCCTGGTGGGACCACGCAGCTCTTTGCCAAAGGTTGAGAATAGGGATCTCGGAGACAGTGCCGATGAGGAGGAAAGGAAGCTGTGGGCTGATTTCAGATTCTGAGATGCACTGGGAGAGAGTGACCACAAGCAGGTCTATGCATCCCGGATAGATGGGGGATGAGTTTGGGAAAACACTGCTGCTGACAATCAGAAGGTAAGATTACTTACCGGTACCCAGAGCCTGAAAGATGCGTTGTCCACAGGTGCTTCCATGCCGTGCTTCGCTCACCCGCTGTGTAGTTTCACGCTCCTTTTCCACCCAGTACTTACAAGATAACCTCGATGCAAGAATACGCCACTAGCATGTGTCATACAGCTCAACCAATACCTCCTAACTGTAGAAGCTCAGAGAGCTATCAAAGGGCTATCAGAAGTGAGGAAGGGAAGTCATATGCACATAGGAGCAGTCATTTTAAAGAATATCCATGCCTGGTAACTTCTTTCATCTTATTTGTATTGCAGGTAAATTCAAGCTACTGCTTGACACCCAGCTCCTCTGCTCCAATTCCGATTCCGCATCCTCAGGTTCTACCAGGGGCTGTCCCAGAACCTTTCAGAGGAACAACAAATGGATCACCACCTCTGATGTACTAAGCACTTAATCTTTCCCATATTTATGTTGCCCGGTTCAGTTGCCTCAGAATACAGTTTATAAACAGAGAAAAGATTAAGTGTTGGAAAATTAACCCTTGCAGACTGTTAAATTTTTAATCAATATCAAGAAAAGGAAGGAGTTGTTAGTTGAAAAGAAGTGAAATCTTCAGACGGGGGATGTTATTTCTTCCTCTTCATCTGAGACTGAGAGAAAAAGAGGAACGTGTCCTGTGTAACATTTTGAAGGCCCTGTGAAACTGTGGAACGTTGAACTGTGCTGAGTACGCCCTTGCATGGCTGAGCACACACCGAGCTTCAGTATTGTCAACGCGATCCAAATTCACTTGGGCAGGCCAACAGCCATATAATCCCGAATTCCTGCTTCCACTTGGCCGTAGTTGCACAGGACATTGGCTGAAAGACAGCCAGAGCTTAAAGCCATTAAAAATTGGTGCCTGCCCACTATCGTGGGCAGCTCCATTCAGTAATGGCACGACAGCGTTCAGTAGAACAAATGTCGTGACTGCAGTGAACTAAATTTTAAGACATGCAACTGAAATTTTTATTTTCCCTCTGATCTATAATGTCTCCATTAATCTGCTTACATTCCAGGTAATATATCAGTTGCCCCTTAAAATTTGTAACCAGAAAATACCGTGATAAAAACTACTGATTGTACATCTTAAAACAATTTTATAATCACTTTGGCTGGCTGCTTGTGCTGGAAGCTCTATATGAAGTATGGTAGAATGAGTGGTGGGTACTGGAGGGCGAGTGCTTATACCGACCCTTCGCACAAACCCCGTTAAGAGAGCATCCTAACGCACGCCCTGGAAGAGTCCCCTAACCACGCACCTATAACTGTATAGGTGACAGGCCCCCGATTAGCTGTCGCTATGCAGGAAAGACAGTACGGTCATCGCTACTGGAAATCTCCATGCTTAGCATTAGTAAGAAATGCAGCAACAAGCACGTTTCAGAAATGAATGAACACCATTATCTCACCATAGAAACGCACGGTGAACAAACTTTAAAACTCCACACGTAGCTTGAATCATCTTCCCTCAAAAATGGGGTAGCTAAACAAAAAGGAGGCACAAGAAAGTCAACCAGAACAGATCAGAGGCACCGAGCAGGCTCTGTGCACAGATTGTACAGTCCAAAACTGTTCATCTTGGAAGACAGATGCACCGGGGGAGTGAAATGCCACATAAAAGAACTATGAAGCTATGAAAATGGTCAAAGGGCTAAACAGAGGACAAACGCTTCTTGGGAAAAAAGGCTCTGGAGCCCAGTTAAACTGCTAAGCTAACAAAGGTACATACTTTCAAACAAAACATCATTAAATCTTGCAACTCTGTCAAAGGATGCAGTAGAAGCTGTAAATACAATTGCGTCCGGCATCAACACGGTAGGCTTGCAGTGAGCTTCAGAGTCTAATTACAAGTGCCATAAAATATCCCTGACCACGTAAGGCTACAGCAGAGAGCAGAAGCTAAGCATGTCTGAAAGAAAACAAAACCAAAACAAACCCCCCGCAGTTGTCTGGGTTTGATATATATACATATATAAAATGTAATATATATGTAATATATAATATATACCTCCATAAATGTTATACGAGCTCTCTATATATCTGATTAGTCATAATAAAAACTTACGTGTTTGCACATACACAATACATGAAAATTCTATTTCAGAAATTCTGAAATTGCTGTACAGTAACAGCTAAATTTTGAGTAGTTTAACAGCATTCTAAGAGCTGACAATTAGAGCTTTTAATCAAGTGAAGACCTTTTCTTGGTAGAAAACGAGCAAGAATTGATAAGGGGATTCTGAATCTAGATAAATGCAAATTTGTGCCCCATAAAAAAAAAGTCACCTATTTGGAAAAACTTGCCAAAAGAAGTGGTAGTCTCCATCTCCTGATGCATACAATCCAGATAAAGGATAAAAGTTTTCAGACGTAAGTTACTGGAACTGATTTGCCAGATCAATTTACAAATTCTTCCTGTCTTCATCTGGTCTAAAATCTGGATTGCTACATATTTCTTAATTTTGATCTGTAATTTTTGTCCAAATCATTCCTCTGATTTTGGCTGAATATTGCTTTAGGTTGATTGTACTCCATGATTATAGAAGAGGAAATTCAAGAGACAAAATCAATGTTTGAGAGGCTCAAACCAAACAAAGGTTCAGCATGAGATGCAGAACTCTCAGTGTAGATCACTGCAGTGGAAATGACGGAAGCTATTGCATTACGAATAGCCACGTCTTTGTCTTTTTGATCTTTATCTAATTCTAATTGCTGATATACAGACACACACAAATGAGGGAAACAGCTATAATTAACCATTCAGAATGGCCTGTATGCACAGAGTACAACAGAAGTTCACAAGACATTCTGCACAATAGGAATAGGGTGAAGCTGAACGGTTCATGGGTCCGGGATAATCCTTTTCATCTGTAGCTGACTGAATTAGCTCATATTCACAGGTCAGCTGCAAGGGTACGAAGGCCGCAAAAGCCCGGGAGTAAACTACTTGTACCCAGTAACCAACCTGAGAAGCTGCCAGTATGCGACGGGCCAGGGAACCAAACTGCTGCTGCCATCACGACCTCCAAGGTCAGAAACCAGGGAACCTTTACCACCCCATCCGTATCTCCATACATATATCCGTATCTCCAGTGGAGAGGGCAGCTCTGAACCCCAAGCTGTTAGGAAGACAGTGAGAGGTGGGAAACAGCATCTTGTGCTGTGCTCATGACAAGTTAGATCCCCTACCCAAACTACCTCTGAGAATCAAGAATCCGCAGGTAGCCTGGTATGCTCCCAGCACGCGCTTGGGACGCCAGGCGTAAAACACCCAAGCCTTCTGATCAGACACAGGGCACAAAATGAACCGGCAGCCTACGCTACCAGAGGCAGAAGCTGAGACAAAGTCAAAGCAGGAAGATCAGTGGACAAGTCTGAAAGAAACTGCCCAGGCTGTTACAGTAAATGACTTTTATTTTTAAAAAAATGAAATAACCGTGAACATATTAACAGGCCTGCAGGTGGCACTACAGTACAGCTGGATATAAGGTAGATACATTTCCCCATGTACCCGGACAATGAAATCCATTGCATCAATGCTGACATTAGTAAATTCTGAATACAGTTCTATCAAGCAGGAACATTTTACTTAAAATAGTTCTGGACAAAGTTGACACTGAAAGTTAACTTCTCCTTCACTTTGGAAAGGATAGATGTTTTCAGCTAGCACTGGTATTGGGTGAACTATTGCCTGCAGTCACCAGTGCAGGGAGAGATGTACAACATCTCCACATGAGAACAGAGTTTATACTCCTTTTTACTTCTCATCTGAGGAAGCAGGGTGGCGTAGGGAGAGGGGGGAAGATGGGTGAGGAATATGGGCAAGGGAGGTGGGGTGTCAATTTCTATTCACTCTCCTTTGGCTGTTTTTGTGCTATTTTGGACTGCTTTCTAAAAATCACTTCTTGATTTTATTGAAAGGAAGACTAAATGTAATGCGCCTTTCCTTGAAAATCCAGGAACAGTTGTGGTACTTCAAAAATACTAAAAATATCTACTTTCATGAAATATTAACTGTTTCACTACAAACCTAGTTTTTCACTAAATACACAATTCTCCTATTTCTGGAGTCTCCTGGGGAAAAAAAGTGGGTTCTCCCTTTATTTCTGCAACTCTACAGTGTATAGAGAAACGGCTACAAGAAGGGGAGTGCAGAGAATAGCTTTATTCTTTTCCTTGGCCTGTATCTCACATGGGAAGTTTGCTTAAATTTCTGCAGTTGGGCTACCGTTGGTCACACTCCTTCAGCAGCTATCAACTAAGTCTGCAGCAGGACAACCCACCTCCAGCACATTCCTTCTAACTTCGTGGAGACTAACTGGGCATGAGGAAAAAAAAAAACATCCACACTCTTTATACCATTTCTAATCATAATATGCAGGAACACCAAGTGGTTTCCGTGTTCTTCCAATTTGCAAAAGGCCACAGGAAAGGGACATGGCACCTTTCGTTAGAATCTGGAATTCTGCGTGTAACAGTGCGACCTTCCGTTAGACCTTCAGTGTTGAGGCAGCGTAGAAAACAGTGGCTGAAGAGTGTGTGTAATACTGACCACACCAGCTCTTAGTGAGAAGCCTCTGCTCCTGCAGAGGCAGTCATGTGCAGTCCCTGTATATACTGTGAGCAAAAGGCTTACTTCACAGGGCATTTGGAATTAGCAATTCCTACGATCTAGCTAGTTTGGATTCATGAGCTTTCAGTGTGCCAACAGCATCTTTCACTGCATGGTAGATAATGTTCTTCACCTGTAACAGGAAAAAAAAAAATCAACTTCTACAGACTAACAAAGAGAGTCTTACATACCTTGTATATACTGTGAGCAAAAGGCTTACTTCACAGGGCATTTGGAATTAGCAATTCCTACGATCTAGCTAGTTTGGATTCATGAGCTTTCAGTGTGCCAACAGCATCTTTCACTGCATGGTAATAATGTTCCTCCCCTGTAACAGGAAAAAAAAAAATCAACTTCTACAGACTAACAAAGAGAGTCTTACATACCTATGCAATCAATTTTGACAGCTGAATTTGTAATAGCTGGCAAGTATACACAAAGTATATACTATCACTGCTTCAGGATATCAACAGCACAAATTTTAAGTATCACGGTTAGACAACAAATATTTTAGACACCTGCATTGATTTATTAACTCATTTTCTGGTCACTCAACAACATATATTTACTTATGTTATTTTAAGATATAGTCTCTTTCATGAGAGGAGGAGAGACTACACTACGAAGTCACCCATATGAGTTTAATTTGAAAAAGTCCTTGTGATGTGAATCTCTTAGATTCACATGAATCAAACCCAAAAGGAGCAAGAAAATCATATGGTTTAACCCTATGTAAATTAAGATGATGCAACAAATCATCCTATTGTCTTTGTACGGAGGCTAGAAATTCTTCTAATTTGTGCATCTTCCAGAAAGGCAAGCAAGATCAGAGATGAAAAATCTACTAGTACTCACAGCAATCTGTTCCATGCTTAGCTATTTAACAATCAAAGCTCTATCTTGTTTCTGATTTTTCTGATTTAAGTTTATTCGAATTCAGTTTCTAGGTATTGAACGGAAAAGTTTCACCTCTGAGTAGCTTAATTGCACTTGCTCAACTAACTGCCAAGCACCATCATTTTTTCCTGATGTACATATGATCTCAGTCTTTTGTATCATTTATGCGACAGTTATTGTCTCTGTGTATTTTTTAATATATATATAAAAATACAGAGACAGATATTTCTATAAAAATACTATAAAAATATACATGAAAAATGACAAAGAAAAATGGTAAAGTTTGGCTGTGAGGCACAAATACAACCAGTATTCCTTTTCGCAGCAGTATCGAGTTCCACTTTGCCAGCAGTTACGTTTTTCTTTTTTTTTTTTTAAATACTAAGCATTATTCATTTGCAACCTATTCATTTACAGAAATACTTCCACATCTGTATCGCTACAGCAGAAGAGGTACAGCGTTAGAAGCTGGATCCTCACAATGAGAGTTGATCCTACTTCTTCTTTCCTGTAAAATCCTGTGCAAATCCACATAGAAATTTACAGCAATTTTTCACTGAATTGTTTGAAAGAATTAACACGGTAAGTTCTGACATTCTTGGGTGACATACTGGAGAATGGCTGTATATTGAGTACTCCCTTGTGCAAGAACAGCCATTCTGCAGATCTCCACCCTCCTTCATTTTACATGCATGAGATTACTAATACACAAAAAATGCTGACAACAAAATTTGCAAACTAAACAGATACTAACTCTTCAGAAGCATACGTAGGGGAAATCATAAGAGGTCTCCTACAGTCTTCTCTCTGTAGAACTTACTGTCATATATACAATGTACTATTTCAGTGCATAATATGTTCTGTGCATAATTATTAGTTTAAGCAGTCAGATTTCTTCAAACCAAAACACATTTAATTTTCCTGTTTGGGACTACTTTAGAATCATTGAATCATTTAGGTTAGAAAAGACCTTTAAGATCATCGAGTCCAACTGTAAACCTAATACTGCCAAGTCCACCACTAAACCATATCCCCGATTTAAATAAGCAAGCCTTCACTTTCAGAGCAATTTTCCTTTAGGCAATAGAGAAACAAATGCAAGTGTCCTTGCTCAAATAAACATATCTCTTCAAAACAAAGCACTGCTTTTTCCTTTTTAATAGGGTTTTTTTTTTCTGCTATGCTTCACTGTCATTCAGGTTTCAGCCATTTAAACACTTATTAATACCGATACATGCACTAGTCCAATAGTGGGAAAGTTCTCTCATAGAATCTTAGAGCATCCTGAGTTGGAAGGGACCCACAAGGATCATCGGGTCTAACCCCTTTCTCTGGAGAAATCAAAAAGTTTATTACTAATTTTTGTTTACATAATACTGTCGACATAGGTGCATTAATTATTTTTTAAATACTTATCAATGAGAACCTCCAAAGTGTGGAAAGTTGTTATTTTTTTCTTAAATCATTAGCCACGTGTTTCTAGTACTGAACAAAGCTGGCAAAACAGGACATATTTAGTGACTACTGTCATAAAATGGTTACCTGCAGTTTATCCTCATGGTTTGTATGAGTATTAGACAGGTGCCTGAACTCCTGCGTCAGACGGAAGCAGTGCTTCACATGTTCTGGAGATACAAAATCTTCTGCTACTTTAATGCAGCTGTACAAATTATGGACCTAAAAAAAACCCCCGTATCAAATGACAGATACATCAAGATTGAGTGAACCATACAAAACCCAAAAAACCCCACCACCATGTATGTTAGGTTCTTCCACATTTACTTATCAGTAACAGGAACTGAAGCCCATTTGATCTCACACAGAATTGCGTCTAATGGTAAAAACAGGACAAAATACGACAATCTCACATGTTCCCTATTCTCCCACATACACTAGCGTTCTCTAAAGCAAGGTCTCTACTGTTCTCCGCACTTTTTTGGAATTCTGTTCCCTTGGCTGAAGTTTCACTACACAGAAATGTTTTCCCACCATTCACCCTATTTTTTTTTTTCTTAATTCCATCACAGTAATGTACACATCATTCAGGTATTTATATAATTTTTACCAATATAATGACTAAAATCCAATTCAAACAGTTCCTGTAAGAACTGCATATGTAGGAAAAGGAACCTAAGTCAGCAATATTAGCTAACAGTTATTTTGAAGTCGCAGTTCTGTTGGGCCTCCAATTCAATTCTATTTGTCAATATGGCCTAGAGTTGGCATACTTACCTGATGGGGAGCACCTGCAGGAATGAACACAGCATCTCCAAGGAACTGCACTATTGCCCAGCCTTGTACACCATACTCATCATAGAGTCGCTTACGTAAGGTCTGGTCCAAGTACCAACTTTGGTCATGAATGGGGTCATGATCTGGGGGATTTTCTTGGCCTTGTTCTTCTCCAACCTAGGGCCAAGATATGGGGTGGGGGGAAACCATGACACAGCACCTTGATATTGCTGGCTCACAAAAAGCTCTGTACCAAAAAACATAACAAACTATTTCAAGGTAGAACTTTACTTTCATTAAGCTCATTTAGGTCTTAACTAGTGATGTGTGCATTAGTATGAAGATTCTAGACCAGGCTGAAAACCTGGGAATAACTACTAATGTCCTCAAAGACAACATGAAAATACCTATGCACTTGATGTTGATAGCAATTTGTATCATTCAGCTGCTATAAATAAGCTAGTCAAGGAATCCTGTAGGCTCAAGCCTCCTTTGTAACCAACATACCTTCCGGAGAAGTTCCCGTATCTTTTCAGCATCCTTGGCAGCATAGATGTGCCACAATGCTCCGGGTTTCTCTCTTCCTTCGTGGATTCGCTGCTTTGTTACATCGTCAGCATCTCCCTCATCGATTGTTTTCAGAACCTCTGAAAGGGGAATCCACATAAAAGCGGTATGATTACAAAGCTTCTGACTTTTGACATACAGAAGAGGAAGGAGCATTTTGAGCTGCTAAATCTAGTCACACTGCTACTGCAACTGCTGCATCATACAGAGCCCTTTCCAAGCACATCAAGCTTCATCTTAACAAAATGCAGGAAATGTGTCAACTGACAGCTAATCACAAAGCAAGTCATTAATTTAAACTGAACTAACTACAATTATTCAAATACAAGGAGAAGAAAAAGAGTAACATCACCATTTCTCCTCCTTTCTTCAGGGAGATATCTAATTTCTAGCAAAACTCTGCTGCTTCCACAGTTGGGAACCAATGAAGCATTACTGCACTTTTAAATATGTGCTGCAGACATAGCAAACTGCCTTGTATATTTGGGTTATATCTCATAGATATGACAAGCTTAAACAATGAAAGGTACAGTCGTCTTTCTCACACACAATTGATTTGTAATGGACAGAAAACAGCTTTCCTCAAACATTACCATCATCATGGGTCCCTTCCCCAATGGGAATCCCAACGTACACCATGACATTAACAGCATCAGACACATCCAAGTGCAGGTTTGTGGTACCAACTCGTCTGTCTTCTGCAGTAATTAAGCCTATAATAGAGTGTAAAATAAAACCAAATTCTGTTTAAGCTCTTAGAGAAATAATCTGCCTGAAACATCTTTCTAGAATGCTAACTTTACACAGCAATGAGAGCAGAAACCAATGTCAAAGGGCAGGTGAAGTAGTTATTTTCATGTCATGTGTGGTGTAAGTAAAAAATTTACTGATAACTAGTATTTTTATTTTACAGGAAATAGAAGTAGCAAATATAGTTCACCCAAGTCATGAGAAAACAAGCATTTTAAAACCAAAGCCTGTACTTGTACTTCACAATTTTGTCTCTCTGAGGGTCATTTATACAGTCTGTAGTAGGGAACTTAGCTGTTGTAATACAAAGGTAGCAGGCATTCTTTGGCACCGTTTTCCTTTGCTTGGAGGCACAAGAGAAAGCCCGACTGCTGTAAGTGGCATTAGCATCATACCGTGTGCAGCAAGTCATTGGACTGTTACAAGTATAAGCCTCCAGCAGCTATTTTCTCATACTCAGCTGTAAAATCCATGTGATCAGTTGAATTCACAGCAGTTACTGTCCAACTCATCATGAACAATTCAGATTACAATTGAGTAAGGAAAAACACCGGCAGACTCTCAAGTGCTTATACCTTTATACACTGGATGATCTTACACCTCTCAAGTGGCTATGAGTAATGGAGAAAGATTTCAAATGTTTGCTGCTTAATTCTTTCACCTTCTCATACAACACATTCTTCTCTCTTCCTCTGACCCTTCAATAGCACACTCTCTCTCTCTACTTTTGCTTTACCATCTCCTCTAGTAAGTAACACAGGGAAAAAAATTAAAATATTTAAAAAAAAAATCTTTATATCAGCAAACACTAACGTAAGTATGACCACAAGACTACTGGTTACGTTTTAGGATCACCATCCTATTTGTCTCTTTTCTATTTAAAATATAAGCTTCTAGGGACAGGAACTCAACTCCCTGTACAGTACCTGTCATAACAGACCAGAAACAGTAGCTAATTTAGACAGTTTGTAACATGAACTTTCAGAAAGCACAACTGAAATATAAACACGGATAAGCATAATATATAGGTTCAAAAAACAGGCCAGACAGATTCACAAAAGAGAGGTTAATTATTGACCTCAAGTAAGGGCCCTTACAACCTCCACCCCAAAACTGCTTTGCCCGATGCAGCAGGATGTAATTTAAGAAGTGTCATTCTTCCCTTAGTAATTCACTAGTGGTCTAAGTCACACAGAGTATGATGGGCAATACAAATACAACACCAATGGCAAGTCTTATGTTAAACAGTTCAGGTATTTATATATAAAACTGGTCAAAACCTGTTGAAGGGAATAAGATTTCTTCACAGTTAACTTCTATAAACAGTCCTTTTATTTAGGTAACTGAGTATCACTTTAAGAATCAAGCTTCAGTCACCATTTTTCTATCTTAATGCTTTAAAATGCTAAGCACATGAAAGACTTTACCTCACTACTGAGAAGTTTTTTCCACCGCATACTTAGAAAACAAAGCCATGTATTTACAACCAAAATACACTTAATACGCTAGAAAAGTTACGTTTATTCACCATAGACAGAATTACTGGTTTTACACCTAGGTCCACCCTTTAATTTGTCTGTAAAGCAGCTAAGAGCAAAAAGATACAAAACTGGTTTTTAAGACAGACTTAGCTAAATTTTGTCTTTTAACTTGGAAGTAAATGAAGTGTAATACCTCCTCTCTTTGGACCAAGACCTATACATCTAAGAAGGACCAAACAGTAGAGTTACATTCTATGCTAAAAAAAAATACTGTCAACACTCCCTCCACAAACTCTGATACAAAGGAAAAGAGAACTTTGACATTTAAGATAAATTCAACAACATTAATCCATTCCTTCCATTGCTAGCAACTAGCAATACACAAAGACAAGTTAGCCCTCACTGATGACCTTGCTTCTTGCTGCACCCTTATATATATATATATTGCTTGATTACATTATAAGCTCTTTGGTGTACAGCCTTCTTCACTCAACTTACATGTCGAGTAATACATAAACCAAAGCATTGAACACCGTTAAATACTCAATAAATTCAATTTGCCTAAGTTCACAAACCCCTCTTTTTTTAACTCTTATTTGTGATGTCATACTGCTAAAAAACCAAAAATAACCCCACAAACACTTTCTCAGAACTGCAATATGTTGGTTTACAGCTGAAGTCTGATCCACATTTCGTTACTGAGCTAACACATTTTTTTAAAGACAAAACAATGAAAAATCTTTCACATCCTCAGGTGAGTTGTTACTGTAGGTGTATCGATAATTGGAATGCAAAACCCTTAAAAAACCCTGCACCCCTGTCTCATAAATATTCAAAGAGAACTACAGAAGTTACATTAGGGTAACTTTGCTTCCACATACTTGCTTTGCAAGATGGCTGCAACTTTTTCCTTATCAGTATCACTTGATATTTTTCAGTATATAAAAAGAGCAACTACTTTAGTTACCTTAGTCTAAAGTTGCAAAAGTACATACTTCCAAATCAATTGGTTATTTAAAAGTATCCTGGAACTATAAAAATAATTTGTTTTAAATTAAAAGTCTCCAAAACCTGCTTTTGGCCATGACTTCAAAGTCGGTACATTCAGGAACTGAAATAATTCAAGTTGATACAACATGAATTAATAGTTCCTATCTCCTCCACACTCTGCTATATTGACAAGCATTTGAAAATTTAATGCTTCACAGTCCCATGCAGGGTATGCGTTCAGACAAAGGTTTCCTCCATTTGTATGCTATTTACCTACTATATAATTAAAGTCTTAAGAGGACAAAACTATCCAATTCAGGTAGGAACATGGTGGCAGTTTTGCCTTGCATGTTCTCTGTGATCTGTGTTGTTAGACATGGATGAAGAAAATTACAACCCTGGTCAGAAACATGAACACACAGATCAAAGTGCCCAGAAGCTGGCTGATGTTCCACTCAAATATATCAATTGGTCTCAAAAAGATATTAACTTCTCCTTGAACCCTGTATCAGTATTATGCTTATTATATGTATTAAATAATAATTGTTTGCAAACTTATCATATGTACATCTCTTGGAAACCACAAGGCAAAAAATGGCACATCTGACAGAGAAAGGACTAGCATAAGAATAGATCACAGCACCAATTAAAAAAAAAAAATGACAGTGTGCTCCAGGATAAGCACGGAGTTTTGATTAGTGCCACAGTCTTGCATATGCCCTAAGTATAATAAAGAGCATAACAGAGTCACAAATACCAACATCTGCAGAACTATCTTCACATACCATAGGCATTGTACATTTTGGGACCCAAGTCAGGACGGACAAAGTAGCTTGGCAGCCTAGAAGCCAAATTCAGTCTGCCGTCCCTCTTGGTATATTCAGGAAGAGGAAGATTTTCCATCAAGTCCTCAAACCTAGAGAGCAAAAAGAGAACAAAGGCATTTTTTCCTCCTGTAGTGCCTACAGCAGGCCTGTAGGCATTGATACTAAGGTTTACTTACCTTGTAGGCATCATATCTCTAAAGTCCTCCCCTGGAGGCCAATCCTTTAACTTTAGTACCATTGGCTGACCATCATCTGACCTGAGCCGTTCTGCAAGAAACAAATTAAGATTTCTTCATGTAGTATTTTTACCACAGCCCATTACCTTGTTTAAGCTGTAAGTCTTTTGTACCAAGACCTCTTACATTGCGCAGCAAAATGGATCCTGATTTTTCTTTGGGCTTCCAAGCATTATCATAGTATGCCCAAACAACAGTTTAACAATCAGATCTGTATATCATTACCTACAGCAGAAGTTTCACAGATCTTGTGCAGCTGCTAAGCTTTAGAATAGTTTTTATTCAAGTTCAAAACCAAGCCTTTCCAAAGCATTATGCCTTACTACTTTTACCAAAGTCTAAAGGAGTTTTATCTTTCATTTCAAGAGGAGTTGTGTTTCTATAAAATTGAAGTTATTGGTTCAATGCTCTGAAATCAACCCTAACCTCAGTATAAAGGAAGAAACCATGGTACACCACACTCAAAAAAGCTAAACAGCAGGTGGTTCCTGAGGAAGACAGCCTTCAGTTTTTTAAATTCTTCTTTGCTGGAGGCACTCAAATTAGCAGGGTGCTGAATTCAAACATTGGTTCCTCACTTCCAAGAATTGTACGTGAGTTCTGACTGGTAACAGAGAAAGCTGGTAGCACAGCAAGATGACATTACGTACGCAACAGCGGATGTAAGATATAACAGCACTGACCTCACCAATTGCTGTTTTGCCTCAGATGTTACAATGGCTAAGAGAGTATATCTGGAACTGGTACGTGCAGCAGCTTAGAAGACTCAGTATAAAATTTAGAGAGAAACAAAGTTCACTCTTCTACCGGATTCCTCACAACTCTACATGAAGCCATCAGTTGGAAAACAGGAGGTACTGCAGTCTGACACCTTCACATCCCCTTTTCCCCAGAAAGTAACATCCTTCACCACTTCCTACCTTACCAACAAAAAGCAACTGATCTCACCCAGACCTAGCAGAGCTGCTGACAGTACCAAAGGAAAAAGCATATCTAAGAAACTAGGACTTGGAGACCTGTGAATCACATCTGCGTTATATATATCAACAGGCTACAGAAGCCAGCCTTAGTTTGCAATATAAAAAATGATTTCATTGAAATTAAAAGGAATTAAGAACTGCAGATATGTAAACCAAAGTGACTGATTTAAAGAAAACAAATTTTGATGAGTTATGGATTTTAGAGAAGCAAGTGAACCGAAAAGCTCAAGGACTTGAATTTAAAGATGTTTCAGAACTTCCCGTATTCAAGATTTTGAACTCATCAAGGATCTTTGTTCCAAATAAGAAGAAACTTGTAGGAAGGCTATTCAGAAAGGACAGAGCAAAGAGCTACCTGGAAGAAAACATTTGGATCTGACAAATTACACGAAACTGGACAAAACCCAGAAAACATCCGATCAGCAAAGAAAAGCAGGTCTAAGAAGGATCAAAACAAAAAAGTTAGACCTGCCAAAAGTCCACTTAGAACTCAAAGATATTAAAAGTAAGCAGCACAAGATTAAAATAAAGTATCATATTGACTAATCAAGGGATTAGGCTCAATACCACCTCCAAATTCAGTGGCTGTTCTACATCTCTTCAATAATTTAATGCGAGTCGGGGGGGAGGGAACCAGCCATGTACTTGAGAAATCTAAAATTCATGTAACGCAGAGAAGTCAGAGTCGTTATATAATTTGCAAGCAGTTTTCATATGAGTTGGTGTGTGAAATCTCCGGACTAGTAGCAAACCATACTCTTCTAAATCGGGGATTGCACACGGCTGAAAAACACTAAAGAAAATGTATTTAAAAGAAACTAGCAAAAGTCATCAGGTTTTCCAACCTAGATCACTAACATTTCTCATATAAAGTGTGGTAAAGGCATCATCTAAAAGAAAGGCAGCAGCTGATTTTGCAGAAAGGAGCATGTCTGTCTGGAGACAAACTACAAAAAACATTGCTCAAAGGTAACTTGACCTATACAGATTTACTATTTTCATGAATGACCCTAGCACGAAAGCGAAGAGTTTGTGAAATTTCCCAATTACTGTTAATACACAGGAAGACCACACCATTATATCCTTCTAGGCCATTTATTTCTGAGTAATAACAGAAATAGTATGAAATTTAACAGTACAAAATACAAGACTCTGTACTTGAAACCATATAAAAACAAGTCAAAAATTGGGAGCTCTTGGATTGGAAAATGACTAGGGAAGGGAAAATTCTTGGTCTACAAATCTATCACTGTTTGCTGTTGAACAAACATTCCATTAAGCCATCCAATAGTTCACCATTTCTGCTATGTGCACATAGCAATAAATACAGAAAACACTACAATCAGCAACACTGCAATGAACTGTTACAACTCTAACATCTGTAAATATAAGACCACTCTGATCTAGGCATATACAATCTAAAATAGAGCACTCTGCTTTTCAGGAGCTCTTTAATCTGACCAGTGATATCCCCAGGAAATTTTAGCCGGTTAGCTTCCACATCCACCCTTGACAGAAGGTTTCCTCAAAGAAGAACTCAAGCATTAAGTAATGTGTTACCACATGAGGTATGCATACAGCATTGCTATTCATAATACATATAAACATGTATTTGTACTCGCAGATGATCTACTGTAAGAATAATTTGCAATGTCAAGTTTACTTAGTTGATGTATTCCACCAAGTCTGAGTTTTAGCATCAAAAGCCTCAGTCTGTTTTAGCTCTGCAGGTTCCCTTTAGTTTTACAATAAATGTTGAGGTTGGAAGGAGAGTAAGGGTAGTCAAATCACTTACTGTCTTGATAACGGTAACCGATGATTAATTTCACTGAGGAAAGTTAAAAAAAAAAGTAGTATCCCATGAAATGGATCATCTTTTGACACATGAAAGTAACACACATCCACATGCTGTAGTACAGATGAAGTTTTCTTGGGCAGCCCTGCCTTAATCTTCACCAAAGTATTTTCTAAGGTGCGCTACAGCTAAGGAGCAATGGCTTCTTTGGATGAGACTTATAGCTATTTGGGTTTTTTTTAATATTATTTTTTATTTTTTGAGAAAATAGGTGGGAAAAGGAGGAGTTGAAGGTAGCGAGACAGACTGCTCAGTTAAACTAGTCAGCCATAGATATTACTTACTAGATATTATCTCAAAGCCATCCCAGAAGTCACGCACTTTCACGTCTGAAATTATGGCACAGTTCCTGCAGTTCACCAAATCTACATCTTGATCTCCAAATTCCAGGCTGAAAGCTTCTGGTTTCCAAAGCTCTGACTTCAACTTCTTATGGACACCAGATACCAGCACGGGCTGAGAATACAAAGATGAATGCTTACTCCACCATAACCAAATTTCTTACACATGCAGCCAAACTTTCTTAAGAGCTGAGACTCCTGGCTACCATCATACAAAAGACACACAAATCTATTTTCATCCATGTCTGGTTTTTGTGCATCAAACAAATAACCAGAGTCAAAGCAAACTTCAGTTCCAGGCCATGTGCAGTTGCCTTAGAAGTGGTATTATATTAGACTTACTAAGGCAAGTGTATTAGGTCTACACGGCAAGGTGTTGGCAGCAGGGGTGGGCTCTGTGAGATGAAGCTGGGAGCTGCCCTGTGCTGGAGAAAGATGGCTCCGCCTGGCTCCAACAGACCCATCGCTGGCCAAAGCTGAGCCCATAATTGATGCTGGTGGTGCCTCTGTGATAATAAGAAAGGGTAAAAAATGCTCCGCGGCTGCTGGGGTGTGGGGAGGTGGGGAGGGTGCGGGGAAGGAAGCAAAAGAAACAACTCTGCAGACACCAAAGGTCAGTGAAGAAGGAGGGGGAGGAGGTGCTCCACAAATTCCCTTGCAGCCCATGGAAGAGCCCATGGTGAAAGCAAGTTGCCCCCCTGCAGCCTGTGGAGGACCACAGTGGAGCAGAGGGAGATGCCCTGAAGGAAGCTGCAGCCCATGGAGAGCCCACGCTGGAGCAGGCTCCTGGCAGAAGCTGCAGCCCTTGGAGAGAAGCCCATGCAGGAGCAATTTTTCTGGCAGAAACTGTGCCCTGTTGGGGACCCACGCTGGAGCAGTCTATTCCTGAAGGACTGCAGGCCCTGGAGAGGGCCCACACTGGAGCAGTTTGTGAAGGATGGTATCCTGTGGGAGGGACTCCACACTGGAGCAGGGGAAAAGTGTGATGAGGAAGGAGCAGCAGAGATGAAGTGTTACAAACTGACCGCAACCCCCATTATTCTCCATCCCTGCTGTGCTTGGGGGGGGGGGGGGGGGGGGGGGGTGTGAGGAGGTAGAAGCGTTGGGGATGAAGGAGTAAAGTTAAGCCTTTAGGAAGAAGGAGCAGGGTAGGGGGGGTAAGCTGTTTTTAGCTTTCTCTTTGTTCCCCACCATCTTACTCTATTTTTAATTGGCAATAAATTCAATTACTTTTTCACAAGTTGAATCTGTTTTGCCCGTGACAGCAATCACTAAGTGATCTCCCTGTCTTTACCGTGACCCACAAACTTTTCCACCTTATTTTCTCCCCCTGTCCTGTTGAGAAGGGGGAGTGAGAGCAACTGGGTAGGGGTCTGGCAGCCACCCAAGGTCAATCCACCTGTGGAAGTACAGTGGGTGTTGAGTCCCACCACCTCTCCTTTTTTTAAGCACAAATGCAACTACCACTAGAAACAGCATTTATAGTAAAGCCTTCTCATATGAAATTTTCATATTCTGATACAAATTTTTCAACTATTTCACTCATTCTTAATGTATAATCATGGATCATTGTTAATTTCCTAGTACAAAACCAAGTAGCAGAAAAGTAGTTGTTCACTTGCAAAAAGGGTTTTAAGACGTTTAGGCTAACCACATATATACATTCCACAGCAAGATCTGAGTGGCCTCTCCCCATAAATGCTCAAGGATTTGCTAACCTAACAGTACTAGGAAAAGGTATACCAGACAATCCTCCCAACACTGGCCAAGACCTTGTCAGTTCTTCTCACCCTGCAATCTCTAGAGAGAAGTACAAGACTTGAGAGAAAAGCAAAAGAGGGTATGAAGTGAACTTGCACATGGGCTATCGCACCTGAAGAACTCTAGGTTTAGTAACTGCTACCTATGTTCCAATGACAGTTCACATGTCTATGTGAATTAATTCCAAGCTGTGCCCTTACATTAACAATGATCTGAAGGTGGATCATGGGTTTATTCACATGAAGAGCTCAGTACAGCCCTGGGGAGCACAGATGCCCCTAGATGTTCTAGTAGTATTAGTGCAATTCCAAAATTAGATTGCTTAAAAACACTCCAGTGACTAAGCACTGCTTCACCTGGATTGCCTGACGGCCTCTAACAGGACTAGTATCCATTTTAGTCCCTAAGTGGGGGGACAATTTTTTCCTCCATTCATTTCTGAATGAATAACCCAGCAACTTTGGGGATAATAGAAATGGCCTTGGTTTTCAAATATAACACAACATAGCCCTTAAGTTCTAGAAGGCAGCAAAGAAACATCAACTCCAGAAGAGTAAGGTTTAAGAAAATAAAAAAGGGTTGTCTTCTCCTGTCAACTTCAGGAAAAAAAAAAAAAAAAAAAAAAA